ATTCGTTGTATTGCATTTTTATTACAATGCTATTTTACCTTCGCCTTCCTTTTTGTATTTGAGGAAAGCGTTTCCTTGATAATATGAGGCGACCATGAGATAGCAGAACCACGCAGTTAAATGTGTATTTAGTCAAGGTGCTACGTCATATGGCAAGAGTGGTTGCTGTATGGAGAATGTAGGTTGTTTTGGAAATTTTTACAGACACTTCCACAAAACACTGTTAATTTTCGATCGAAGCCTGGTTTCACTTGGACATATTTTAGTTAGGTTGATTCTTTACTGCGGCTGAAATATTCATTTTTAGAGCGTTAGTGAATTAAAAAAAAGCAGTATAAAAACCGGAATGTCCAACTGATAAGGCTGAAATTTTTTTCACTTGTTATTTACAGTAAGGTAAATACATTCACCAAATTTTATTAAAATAAAACCATTTAAACTGGGTGTTCGGATTTATATGTCACTTAGTATATTTTAAATAGGAATTTAGTACATAGTTTGCGATTGATTTGACCAAACTTTGTTGCTTAAATAACTTTTAACGCTTTATTACATAAACTAACCATGGTATATTCCACAGCAGAAAGAGTTGAAATTATCGAAATATTTTTCTGAAATAATCAGTACGCTAATAGAACAGCAGAAATATTTAATGAGCGACATGTTTACAGTAACGTGCATCGAAAATATGTAATAGAACTTGTAGCTAAATTTAGGGAAACTGGGTCAGTCGCCAATAAAAAACGCAACATTGAAAATCCCATAAGGAACGAAGCAATAGAAGTGGGGGTTTTAGGGCAAGTTTATGTTGATCCTACGTTAAGTACCCGCAAACTGGAGACTGTGTGTGATGTTAGTCGACGTACTGTCCAACGGATTCTAAAGGGCCATAGTTTTCATCCGTATAAAATTCACCTGGTACAAGAACTTAATGAAGACGACTTTGATCGGCGATTACAATTTTGTGAAGATATGAGTGAACAAATTATAAACGATGAACATTTTCTATTCAACACTTGCTTTCCCGACGAATGTTCCTTTTTCTTAAATGGCGTAGTAAATCGTCGTAACTGCCGATATTGGTCCGATTCTAATCCCAGAATTTGTCATGAGGTTCATACACAGCATCCACAAAAATTAAATGTTTGGGCTGGCATTTTTGGCGATCATTTAGTTGGTCCTTTTTTCTTACCTGGAAATTTGACCGGTGAAATGTATTTGGAATTACTGGAAGACGCCATAGATCCTGCATTAACAGCCATAATTGAAAATCAGAATGATTGGCGGTACATTGCGAATAGGTTGATGTTCCAACGGGATGGTGCCCGACCAGATTACGCATTATGTGTTCGACAATATTTAGATCAGCCGTTTCCAGATCGATGGATTGGTAGAAGAGGTGCCATTGAATTTTAGGTAAACGATAAGTGTAGTAAACAAAAAACGCTAAGACTTTACATGGCTGTGGTCGAGAATATCAAAAAAAATGTGTAATAACATTTTTATTTTTTCAAACTTTCAACCTTTTAATATTCCTTTTATTGTGCAACTTTTATATATGTGATTTTTAGTATATCAACTCCTTTTGATGAGTCCTACAAGCAGTTAAAATAAATGACTCAACTTTGATTGTATCGGTACCAACATATGCTTATTTTCAAATTGATATACCAATATACTAAACGAAAACAATTGCTGATAAAGTCTGTTTTTATTATGTTTAAAAATTATTTTTCTAATACCTCAAGTTTTGCTAAGTGTATGGTTAAGCTCCACCCCAAGCTAATAAACCATATGGTAATCTAGACTTCACGAGAGCTTGGTAAATAATTTGCATGGTCTTTTGATCCAGATAATTAGATATTTCTCAAGTTCAAGGTAATATGATGATTGTGATAAATCCATTTGTATCCACATATTTTTTTCTTTTGGAGTCCACTTGATCGTAATACCTCTCAAAGCATTACCGCAATCCAGGAACCATATCCGTCATTTGCCACTTGCTAGTGTTATTAAACCTTCTTCAATCTGGATAATAAATCAGTCCATAACGGCTGATTGAAGGTGGCTTCATTCAGTGGCTAGATTAAGGAAGATGACAACTACAGGGCAAGCATCAGAATCCTTACTATTTTTGTATGTTTTCAAGGTCAAAAACTGTACACGTAAATCTTGGTGAGGATGCCATCAATTCAATTTTGATTCTAATCCGTGCCATGCAAATGAAGGGTGATCTTGAACAGAAATAACAACACAAATCTAACGTGTCATATAATTTAATATATTTCACTATGTTCTGCGTATACTACTTGCAAAATGACTGCTTGTCTTATACCTAAACGTATAATACAAATATAAAAAAAAATAATGCAACAAAAAGTACGTACGACAATATTAACAAACTCACGAACTCAGTCAAACGTTGTTACTCTTCATTGTGAAGCAACATATAGAATGTCCTCTATACAACAGCTGACATATGAACGAAGACAAAATGCACATACCAGCAGGTTGACGTCATGTGATATCACATCGAATTATAGTAGATATACATAGATAATGAGATAGATACTTTCAAAATCGTTTAAATATTATCATCGATAAGAGTTGGAAACCATTTACAGAATATCAATTCACAGATCGACACCCTTGTCCTTCATCGTTATATAGGAGCTAAACATCATTCCTTAACGCCTTATTCTAAGGACGCCAAAGATAGGATAGCTGTCAAATATTCAAACAAAGCTATGTATCACTGTCTTATCAATTCTTGGTTTGACGCTTGATACGGAATCTGTTTTCTATAGATATACGAAGTAAAATGGCTAGGCCAATGCCAACGTTCTCTGATTGAGCTAGGCTGTTATCTTGATGGTATTTCACAAATCGTCTGTCAGTGCCATGTGCACTGCGGTTTAAATGAGCGACTATGGATTCGAACCGGGTTGACCCTGTATATTAAGGGTTACTAGCGTAAGGGGTCCTGAAAGTTGGGACTTTATTTTTCACAAAAAAACTACGGTTAAAACATCAAAGCTAACGTGCGCCCAGGCAGCAGCGAATCTTAATGCACTTTCGGTTTAACCGCTGCATGTTGGGTCTGACTGGCCTATTCCGATTTGTTTAGAAGTTGGTAGCTCGGTAGCGTTCATATGTGATACTAAGGAAATTTGCCCATCATTACATGAACTATACGCTGTGCAAGAAGAAAGTCTCAACTTTGAGAACACCCTGTTTTTAAAGCTCTAATACCAGTAGACTTAAATTTAAAAATTTCATTTAAGTTTTCGCTAGTTCCTCTGGTTTATCTTCACAAAGGCACGTCACCCACTTATTTTTTATACGGGCGAAGTTAGCTGAAGCTCGGAGTAATGAAATTGATGCATGGTTACTATACATTTTAACGTGAAAATAGCAGTTGAAAATTTCAAGATGATTTCTGGGCGGCATAAAATGGGGTCGTATGATACCTCATTTTGAAGCTCCTCTTTTAGCTTATAATATAAAATTACTATCATTCAAAATAGGTGACCGGCAGGCTGTCAAAGTTGATCGTTTTGTACATTGAATCGCTACAAATCAAAACATTCACAATTTATATATCCTTATTTTGTGAGGTCCATCTAATGTGCGCTAAGATACCTATGGACAAACTTTGAAATTTTTTTAAATAGAATATTACATATTTTAACATAATTTGAATAGACCCTTCCAAGAAAAGAAGATTGATACTAAATGCCTATGGACAAACTTTGACATTTTTTTAAATAGAATGTTACATATTTTAACATATTTGAATAGACCCTTCCAAGAAAAGAAGATTGACACTGAATGCGTTATGATGTGGTTAATGAGCTATAAGCACAAACACGTTCATCTTTGACAGCATGACAGTTCACTTTGTCCGAAGATGGTAAACTGGTAAAGTACTCATAAGGAAAATATTTATTTTACGACGGCCCAGCTACCTAAAAACCGACCAAATAACATTGGACGATGGCCGCGAAAGCCTTTCGCATTTCATTTTGCATCAATTTCATTACCGCAAATTTCCATTTGCTTACTCAACCCGTTAAAGAAATAAGTAGTAGTGGGAGAACTTTTTGCAGAGCGAAGATGCTCAATTGTTCAATATTCAAGTGTTTATCTATGCTGCTGAAATTTTATTATGTAATGGATATTACTCCATAACAACAACGTCCAGTCAAAACATACAATTTCGATATATCCTAACATTATCTCAAGGTACAAGACTTACCCTTGCAAATATACAGGGTGTTCCTTAATGGTATGCGAATACTCAAGGGTGTGAATCTACTTGAAAAATTAATGTTAGTTTGCTTTATAAACTGTGGTCCAAAAATGTTTCCTTACAAAAAATTCGGGGTGTCGCCAATGGTTTTTTGACAAACAAAAATTATTTTTAAACTCCCCGTTTAAATTAAGACAAATGATCTCTCTTGAATTGTTTTCTTTCGATGCGTCATTTTTGAGTAAAAAAAATAAAAACCGTTCTATTGTCTAACCTGCAAAATTATTATTACTATCACTATCACTCTTAGAGGTCTACCTTCAGATATTCCTTTTCAGACAGAACCAGTTCCAACAAGACCACGATGAATATTAGAAAAGGTTCGACTACTGGCAAAGCACGATCGGGATATCTCTGGTGATAAATCCGTCTGGCTTGCTCACTATTACCGTCGGCAAGGCCATATACGTAATGCATTTCCGCCATTTCTGCATTTGAATAATTCACCATTATTAACAAGATTGTAAAAACTAAATAATGAAAAAGATGTCACAGCGAACAGATTTACAGAGACTTGTCAGATATCAGAACGGTTTTTATTTTTTTACTCAAAAATGGCGCGTCGAAGAAAAACAATTCAAGAGAGATCATGTGTTTTAAATTGAACGGGGAATTCAAAAATAATTTTTATTGGGCAAAAAACACTTATTTCTTAAAAAAAGTCGAAGTCAATACCCGTACGCACGCTACTGTTAAAGCTAAAAATTATTTTTGCATTGACTTTCACTACCTACTAATAAATATCAGTGAAATATCTGAAGCGGGAATTAATTTCCATTTTTGTCCTAAAACTTCAACACCCCGAGTTCTTGTAAGGAAACATTTTTGGACCATAGTTTTAAAGCAAACTGACATTAATTTTTCATGTAGATTCACATCCTTAAATATTCGGATATCAATAAGGAACCTTTGCACCTTTAGGTTAGAATACCTCGGAAAATAGAGCCAATTTAGAGTCTTCGACTGCCGATTCGGATTCAGCGCAACAAACATTTTCGGATTAGTATACTTTCGTGATAAGAATCTTGTCGGCTTGTGCTATCGAATAAGTTTGTGAGGCATTATCAAACATAATAAATCACAGTCTTCTAAGAAATTGAAAAATTTCGAATATAAATGATATTTTATATAGTTATTCCTCTTCATCTTGCTGCGCCAACCGAAACTTCTTTAAACCTTGCTGAGGCTTCTAATTACTGATTAAAACAAATGCGATGAAGCAGATGTAGTACTAAAGTCACACCATTTTCAATAACTCAAAAACCGTGTTTGTTGAAACATTGGAATAAGAGTTAGTAAAAAGGACACTTGAAATACTGAAACGATCTAAGTGATATCCCATGACAATAAAACAACCGTTGTAACCGGTCATCTGCATTCATATGCCGTCTATATAATATGTACAAAAATAATTATAAATAAATCACTGGACGTCCTAAGTATCAAGCCGAAGAGATCTGTGGATACCTTCTTTCCGACCGAAACGCTTTGCGGCTAGACAGGGTCCTCCACAGAGAGAGCTGCAAAGAAAGGATAACACTATAACGGATACTCTAAAAATGTTATTAACTTTACTTATAGCGATATAGAATTGCTTAGTACTTTCGAATACCAGACAGAACCGTTAACATCTACCTGAATTTTTTATTATTTAAAGAAACGGAAAGGTCTAAAATCTTAATCCAGAAGATTAGCAGTGATAGTGATGACGAGGCAGCATTTGCCACTATGAAATATTAACAATTAATACTAAAGCGAATCTGCCTATAAACGATATCACGTCATCCTACTGTATTATAAAATTCCATTACTCCTAATATATCAGCTCTAAGCGGAAGACGTGGAACTACGTTTCTCCCTCCTGGCACTTGGGAATCCCTCATGATTATTTGTTCGGTTTACAACAACTTGTGAACATATGTCCAAATTTAACAGTCACAACGCTCTACGCTTACTTGGACAACTAGGAACGAACCACACTTCTGCCAGTTTTGAATACGTGCAGCTACTGAAAGTAATGGAAACCCAACGTCTATCAACGCTCGGCGTTCAATCCAACCTAAGTTTCTAATAGCAGCAACTCTTGGCTGATAATCTTGCCAGGCATTGCATTCTGATTATAAACTACTACAGCAGATGCTCGATAATGTAAACTACTTTAATCCAAGTGTAGTTCACATTACCGAAATGTTTACATTAGCGAACGTGATTTATATAATATTTGATTTATTAAAAGAAACGTTTAATACATACTATTTATAACAAAATAAACAAATATTCTAACAGCGATAAGTATTTTTTTAATTAGAAGATAAATAATTAACAATTTTTGTCTGCGTAAATTTGCGCTTAGCATTGTCTTCCAATGCCTGCGCCCGTAATTTACGAAGCACTAAAATATCCGTACTTGTATAGCTTGCGCGTCAGTCACTACACTTCTGACTTCAATGGGATCGTTCTCATCATCCTCACTGTCCATATCCTCCTCCTTATCAGCATCATTCGTCTGCTTATCTTCGTTCCATAAATTAATATCAGCAGGAGTACAAACAATGTTGGGATTCACTGTTTTCAATAAATCAACAACATCGAATGACACATTAATAACATTATGATTATTGGATCGCAAACGTTCTCTAATTACGCTTAAGGGGACATCGTCTTCTTCATCATCTTCATTATTGGTACAAAAGAGATTGTTCCAACATTTTTGAATAGTTTGCTGGTTAAGTTCATTCCAGGCCATATGTAAATCTAAAACAGTTTCTCGTAATGTTACTTTTTTAAAGCCTCAGATAAGTTTTCAGGATTCTTTGATAAGACAGACGAAAGTAGAAACTTCCTATAGTATAGTTTGGTGAGACTTATTATATTCTGGTCTATCGGTTGAATTAACGGTGTTACGTCATGCCACATGACGAAAATTGACCCATCCCTGCTCCTCAGTTGTTGCTCGGGAGGATGACTTGGTGCAGTATCCAATAGTAACAACGCTTTTATTGGAAACTTCTGTTGTTTTAGGAAACCTTTTACCTACAAATTGAAAACACATCTTCAAATTATGAATAGAGCATTTGTGATAATTGATTGTCATACCTGAGGGACAAAGCATCTGTGGAACCATTTTAGGAATATACTGCTAGTCATCCAAGCGGTTTTTGAACAGTCATAATCAACAGGGATATTAAAATTTTTAAATGAGCGCGGATTTTTTGCTTTCTCAATTACCAGTGGCTTTATTTTGGGTGAACCATTAGCGTTAGTGTAGGCTAGAAACATTATTCGTTGTTTCTCCGGCTTTCTTCCCGGAGCAGATTTTTCCAATGATGCAGCATAGGTTTTCTCTGGTAACATTTTCCAATAAAGGCCACTTTCATCTGCGTTGTAAATTTGTTCCATTCTTAAATCTAACTCGGTAATTGTTTTCATCAATTTTTCTTTGAATGGTTGCACTAATTGTGGTTGTGCTGATAATTTTTCATCAGATATAGACAGCAGTCGAATTCCATATCTTGTTTTGAATCGTTGTAGGCAGCCATCACTAGCTACGAAATTTTCAGTTTCTTTCAGTTTTTCATTTAACAGTCTCGCTCTCTGTTTAAGTACTTCGCCACTAACTGGGACATGATTATCCCGTTGTTTTAAAAACCACTTATACACGGAATTTTCCATTTTAGGTGCCTTCGCATTTTTTTAAGTTTTTCTTTTTCCCGGACCTCCAAATGTATTGCACGTTCTTTGTAAAATTTGAGTTTTCATACGCTTAATTTTACAGATTGTTGCTTTCGATACTCCATATTTTTTTGGTAACTGTGTCACTCCCGCACCTAGTGCAACTTCGTTTGTAATTTTCACTTTCTCACTCAACTTTAAACACTTTCTTTTATAGGATGTGGATGCCATAGTCGTAAAATATATTAACGCGTGCAATGTATTCACTTAAGTTCAAAAATCAAATACATACGTACGTATAAACGTATCCTATACGATCATACGACGTATTTTATCGCAGAGGTGAATCCCCTCCACTCTACATCATAAATCGGGGACTCCCCGACGCCCGACATAAATCATCGAGACTTCAGCATTTTACCGTCGCGCTGTTTCCGTGCGCCGAGAGTTGTTTACGTTATCGAGCGTACACATTGTTTACGTTATCGCGCGTTCCGTTTGATCCTATAGAACGAAGTTTGTGTTTACATTAGCGCAAGTTTTCATTATCCCGTGTTTACGTTATCGAGCGTCTGCTGTATATTTTAGCTTTTACGATGGGCCAGTCTCAATTCATACTTACTCAACTCAACTAAAGTAGATCATACATTCCACAGTATAGCGGTGTATATACTACAACTCGAATTCGGGCGGACAATAGACAAAAAATATTGTGAGTAGTGTGTTTTTTTGCAATCGAAAAGAGTCAACATAATTTAAAAATATATTTAACCTTCAATTGCCAATTTGACAGCGAGAGATAATCATCACATTTTAGTTTTATTTTCACCTGTTTTTGTTCAGAATTTTGGAGTGGCAGCCCTCAAGAGATATTAAAAGGAACGTTAGTGTCGACAATAAAAACTGGCAACTAATGTTATTGTATTTTTCTGAGAAAGTTTATCTTTATATTTTCAGCATGTACAATGGAAAAATAAAACTTTTTGGACCTCTCGAATCGGTGTCTTTTAAATGATAGTGCAAAAAATGTTGTTTATATTTAAACAGCCTGAAAGTAGCATACGCGTGCTTTTCCCAAGAAAGTACGTACTTATAATATGATTTCAATGGGGTAAATAAATACTTTCGCCTACGTTTCACTATTTTGATGCGACGCGAATAAAAAAATATTAGAGGAGAGCTGATAAAGAAATAGCATGTATCTTATTAGAAACATTGCCAACTACTATTATGTTTTTAAGAGACAAACTACCGTTTTTTTTCCATATTTGTGACCCATCACAAACATTTAAGAATATACCTCTCCATGTGATACGAAACGACCTACAGCTTTGAAAACATCTTTAAAATGCTGGTATGAGTTTAAAAAAGTTATACACAAAATTTGTTAAAGGTATCGTAAAACGAGGAAAAAAGGTAAAAATGCTGGGTCTGTAGATGGAAATGATTGTTTCTACTTAGAATTCCTTATTTGGTACCCTAATGAATACTTTACCGAGATTAAAATCCTAAAACCAAGAAATTTGCAAGTTTGAAACCTGCTTTCTAAATTTTGGGAAGAGTGTAACCTGTAGATCAGGCGCTTTCACAGTTTTTTTTATTTTCTCACGGAGTAATAGTTCACCTAGATATTAGCAGAATCGCCCAGAACGTGATAGGTGTTTTGTGCCTCCATCTGCACTTATCAAAGTGATGTTCCGTTACCTGTTTATTCAAATATACTAAGTGACATATAAATCCGAACACCCAGTTTAAATGGTTTTATTTTAATAAAATTTTGTATAAGTACTTAATGAAGCATAATAAGTAAATGATAACAATTTCAAAATGATTGCACTGCTTTAAAGCCCTTTGACCTTTAATAATGTGTGAATGCAACCTGATGTGCTACGCATTCTCCAACGCGCCTAGGCATGCTTCTGATCAGGTGGTCAATGTCCTCCTGTGGTATCTCATTCCAGGCAACCACCAACTCCTCTCAAAGTGCTTCTAGAGTCTGAGGAGGACGTTGCAAATTGAGCAATCTCCTACCCATCATATCCCACACGTGCTCAATTCGAGATAAGTCGGGAGATCTTGGTGGCCATGGTAACAATGTGACATCATTATGTTGAAAGAAGTCTATTGTGACTCTTGCAACATGTGGTCGGGCATTATCTTGTTGGAAAGTTGGATCTGCCAGGGTGTCAAGATAGGGTAAAAGATGGGGTTCTAGAACTTCGTGGATATAACGCTGCGCGTTCATGATACCTCTGATGAAGATTAAAGGTGACCTGGAACCATAAGCTATAGCACCCCAAACCATAACTCCAACAGTGTGATGAACATGTCTTTCAACAAAAAACTGTGGATTCCTCCTTTCACCACGTCGCCTTCTAACCCTGACACGACCATCGTGCATGCCTAAACAAAATCGAGACTCGTCACTAAAGGCAATACTGTTCCCTTCCTGATCCCAGAGTGACCGTTGTCTGCACCACTCAAGGCGATTGCGTCGGTGTTCTCGAGTTAAAGGGAGGACCCAGTGTGGCCGGTATGAAAACGAGCCAAAACTTCTCATTCGTCGGTAAACACTTCCCATGCCAATAGGTCTTCCGTGTTCTGCAAACCATTCATTTGCAATGTACCTGGTATTGGAGAAACGGTCCCTTAAGGCCAATAATCTTAGGCGGCGATCTTCACGGTCTGTTGTTCTACGGCGGCGTCCAGTGCCCCTTGCTCTTTGCGTACGGCCTTCTCGAAGCCATGCCTGACAACACCTAACCACAGTGTCTACACTTCTTTGCACTCTAACTGCAATTGCCCGAAAAGAAAGTCCAGCTTCTCGAAGTCCCACTATACGGCCGCT